CTTGATTGACGTTGCGATTATCAACGAACATATCGACAATAATTGTTCAATGACAATTACTAAAAATCCTAAAAAATTGACGTCACCTGTCAAGGTAACATTTCGAACAAATTATCATCAGACATTGATTTCTCAAAATTTAAAATCTAGTCATTGTAATTGATTAGAATGATAAAACAATGCAAGCAACGAAACGCAAAAACATGTTAGATTATTGGGGAAAACCGCCAACCGAAGTTGAAACATCCCCGATTCTTTCTAAAGAGGCGCCGAACGCGCATTCAAAAGAAATTAAATTTACACAATTCAGAGAAAAGTCAGATATACGACCAAATAAGCAAATTAAAACGAGCCATACAAAAACGGACATTCCTTTGGCTGCAAGAGGTTTATTAGCTCTCTATATAATCGACCGTACATTTTCAAAGAGCTTACAGAATTAAGCATGCTTTTCTCTTATTGTTGATAAGTACGACCAAAAAATTTGGATGCGTTTATAGGTCAAAAAGATCTAGTAGGTGAAAATGGAATGCTCAGAAATTTGATTTTACGTGATAAAATTCCATCAATGATATTTTGGGGTCCTAGCGGAACAGGAAAAACGACTCTAGCCAGGGTATGTTTATTATTAATTAGTCATTTTTGTTTAGCATCAATTTTTATCTCATACCTTCATACTTTAAAATTTTTTTCTAGATAATTACAAAAACGACTCAATCAATATGTAAAGAATTCTCTGGAATCACTCATGGTATAATCGCTATGTCTTAAAATTATTATGATTTTAATAATTAAGTAACACTTCATTTTATTGAATTAACTCTAGCCTCCGCTGATATCAAGTTGAGTATGGATAATGTTGTTTAGGAACGCATCAAAGATATTAATATTCTATACTAATTTTAGAAAAGCATTCGATGAAGCAAAAAATGAACAAAAATTAACTGGAAGACGAACAATAATCTTTTTGGATGAAATGTAGGTCATTGTATTTTGTATTGACCATATAATCAAATGTCATATTCATCGGATTATCTGAAACATATATATTTTTTGCTATGTAAGACATCGCTTTAACAAACCACAGCAAGATTTGTTTCGTGAGTGTATTATCTCTTTTTTGCATTTTGTTGTATATTTCTCGACTATAACACCATAACGCGAGGTTAAAACGATTATACAGTTCCATATGTCGAATCTGGCGATGTAACTCTTATTGGAGCTACAACAGGTGAGTCACCATCCGCATGTTATATTATTCTTACGTTTGATCTTTGCTAATTAAACCATTTAAGAATAGAAAATCCTTCTTTTAAAATTAACTCGGCACTTCTTAGTCGATGCAAAGTGATTGTGTTAAAAAAGTTGCCGCCAGATGAGATACACTACATCCTACAAAGGGCCATACAGGATATCTTTTCTCAAAGAAAAGAAACCTTCGAAGGTGAAGAAGCTACATCTCAATCAAAATTTCAGTCCTCGGAAGAGTACAATGAAGTTGATGACGATGTATTAAGGTTATTGGCAGTCATGAGTGATGGAGACGGTTAGATATAACTTTTGTGTTGATTCTTATTGACATTTACATACTATTAATATAATTCGTATTATACAGCTAGGGTCGCATTGAATTCCCTAGAAATAGCATTAAATGCATCATGTCAAGCGCGAAGGCATATTACTAAGGAAGATATTAAAGATGTATTTCAAAAATCACACCTACTTTATGATAAAGATGGTGAGGAGCATTACAACACAATAAGTGCTCTTCATAAAAGCATACGCGGAAGGTAATAGATATATTTTTTTCCGACAGTTTGCGAACTTATTATTACCAACTTTCTTAATTATTTTTACATTATATTTTAGTGATGCAAACGGTATGACTTATATAAAGTTGTAAATTATTGTTGTAATTTGATATATATATATATATCGTTTACATACGTCTTACGTGTAGCGAGTTTATACTGGCTTGGTCGAATGCTTACAGCAGGAGAGGATCCCTTATATATAGGTTGGTCGAATCTTTTGTATTTAATTAGCTTTTGATACCTAATTTATTAATCAATATATATATATATTTCTGTAGCAAGGCGATTGATTGTCGTTGCTTCCGAAGATGTAGGACTTGCAGATAATAATGCACTTCCTTTGGTAAGGGTATAAGTTCATATTACTACACTCACTCTGGTTATATCGACATTAATTTCAAAATATCGTTACAATAAGTTGTATCGACTTTTATAAGTTTTAAAAAAAAGTTGTCATAAAAGATTTACTATGATATCGATATCGTTATATCTAGATGTCAGTATAATTTTCCTGTCTTGTTTATGATTTTATATATTCCTTTTTTCTATTTTTCAGGCTACTGCGACATATCAAGCGTGCCAATTCATTGGTATGCCAGAATGTGAAATTAATCTGGCCCATTGCGTTACATACTTAGCGGAGGCTCCAAAGAGCGTTCGTGTTTATAAAGCATATGGATTGGTATGCAAACTGAAGGGATACATAACTGCGTAAATTTAGTCATTACTCACAATGAAATTGTCATTATAGGTGAAACAAACAGTCCAAGGAGAATATACTTATCCAATTCCCTTACATCTTAGAAATGCACCAACAAAATTAATGAAGGTAATTTTCTTTTGTAACTTTCATATCCTTGTTTAAATCTATTCAATTTAAATTACAAGTTTCTTTACAAAATAAAGGATCTTGGCTACGGTTTTAACTATAAATATAATCCGGATTATGAAGGACCTGTTAACCAAGAGTATTTACCAAAAGAACTTAAATGTAAAGTATTTTTAGATGTTCATGGACCAACGAAACGAGACGAATTGATTGAAAAGACGAAACAGGTTAAATAAATTAGCAATATGATTATAGGCGTGTTAGATTAAAGTTCTTTTTTTTTGTTAAATGACTCTGCTTGCCTTGAGTAATGCGATATTTGTATGATTCATAGTTTATTGATTCGAGATACCCTTTGGTTCGTTGTTAATGAGATTAAACTTGGCTGTTTTTTAATAGTAGGTTTATGTTTGAATCTGAACATGTTTATTTGATTGTTTTGTTGAGTGTTTAGACGCGATTCTTTTGAAAATGATTTATCCTAAGTGCATAATTATTAATTAAAGTCCAAATGGTTTTTAATATGCAAATTAGTTTTTCTGGGCAGCTTTTTTAGTTATGTTCGATGTTGCTCATATACATGTATCGGGAGTAGTTATCTATCTGAAGTATTGTTTTATTAGTAGCTACTTCGATAGGTAGCTACTCCAGATGCAACATATATATGTTTTTTTTTTGTTTAGCAGTCTTAATACTTAATATGGCCACACTATGGTTTAATGTAATATGCAAGTAAATATGAGTATGTATGTAGGTAATATTTTAGTTGCATGAAATACTTTATAGCAAACAGATGGGGTTGTGTCAGTAGAAACCAAGCAAATTTTTCTAAGTAAATTTTTTTAAAACTTTAAACAACAATAACTCAATAACTCAACAAAAACTTAATCAAATTAATAAAAGATTTTTCAACTAAATTTTACAAACTTATAAAATTTATTTAAAAAAAATTTTTATTAAATTTGATTGTTTTTGTTAAGTTATTGGTGTTTAAAGTTTTAAAAAAATTCAATAAAAACAACAATTTGCTTGATTTCTACTGACTCAATACTTTATTTCTTTATAGAAATTGCCCTAGGGCAGGGTTGGATAAGGATATGTACTATCGAAAAAACTGCCAATGAAGCCAATAAAGCCAATAAAGCCAATAGATAACCCAATAGAGCCAATGGAAACATTATGGATCTAATAGAGAATCAATAGATTTCGCGATTTGGGGGTTTTTTTCCACTAGATAACAAAATTGCGAACCTTACATAAAATGCATTTCTTGTCGATATAGCATTTTTAATGAGCACTTGCAAAATCACATAGTAATTAACTAATGTATTATGCATTAAAATCGTAAAATTACGTTAGAATATAGGAATAAACGAAGTGTAGATAGAAAATAATAAATTAATAAAATGGATATTTGCATGAGAGAATGAGAAACAAAAAACACTAATTGATAAAAATTATAACATTAGGTTTTTTTTTCCCTATTGACTAATACTCAGAACTAGATCATATTTGAAGGTACATATATGAGTGCTGCAAAGGGAAAGCCTGTAATTCCGGAAACTTCGCTTTTAGAAACAGACAATATCAGATTCTTATATTTCGGAAAACTAACAATTACAGGTTTTCCCTTTGCAGCACTCATATCTGTCAAAGAGGCGACGCTAAAGCAGAATTATAATACATTTACGCGAATAATGTGTAAGTGTAAGCATAACTGCAGTATAATATCAAGTTTTAACATCTATATACGTTATTAGTGTGATGTTAAACTCCTTTCACCTCTAGTGTGATTCGGAATTTTTGAAAATTTTTGAAAGAAGCATCAATCTCATCAATCTCTAATTTATTCAAGAAAAGAGAGTATGCTTATTTATTGGTTCCTCATTAAAAATACCTTTAGCTACCTGAATGAATTTAATCTGAAGTTTGCAATTTTTATTAGATTCGAATTCCTTTACGTATTCTTCTATAATAGATTTATTTTTGCATTCTGAGCTTTGAGTTCATTTAATATTCTCAAAATGAGCTAGGTATTGTAAATTGAGACGTTTTTAACTCTACTTTATAGGTCGCGGCATAATCTTTTTTGATTGATTTTAGAAACTTGTTCGGCATAATAATTTTGGCATTTTTCATGTTTAAATAAATCTAGTTTGAATGATATATTCGATGTTATATGTTATATATTTGTATATTTATTCAAACGTTGATTTTATGTACATAGCAAAATTTTCAATCATATATGAACAACAATGTCCGTACAATGTAGCATTTTCGAAAAATAAAATCTCGAAATATATATGATGTATATGAAAAGGTGAACTGATTATGTGTAAATTCGATCACCAAGCCAGCTTTGTTATATAAAAAGATATACGATTATACTTATACACTTTTAAATCCTGCATTACTTTCCTTTTTTAGTTTCCCTTCCTCAATCTATGTTGAATTCTAATTCAGTTAATAAAGCTTTGACTTTTTCACGATATTCTTCCAAAATTTGTTCAGGCGAATTCATTTGTGATAAAGATTGTTGAGACAACGAGCAACTTTCTGATTCATTACCAACATTTGATATTTGAATATCATTCATGTTATTATTATTTTTACAACAATCTTTCATTTTACTATCCGACTTTTCACAGCAACTACATGTCGAATCAGTTGATAAAGTTGCTTTAAAATAATTTTTTGTGAAAAATTTTTCAACTGGTAAATTTGCAAGATCACTTTCTAAAGATTTTAATTTATCAAGAGTGGATTGAGTTGGAAGTATAATGTTACTTTCATCAACATTAGTATTATTGAGTAGAGGTGTATAGTATTCTAGTAATGTACTTTAGAAAAATGAGTAAATAAAAGAATTTAAACGCTGATCAACAAAGAATTACAAGGAGATACTTACTTCAATAAACCTCTTAACCTACCAATCTCTTTTCCAACATTAGCTCCTTCAGCGTACCCTTTATTGAACCCTTCTTGAATGGTAATATCTTTACCTTCTATAATTCCTTCTTTGTACCCTATCTACATGTTAATAAAGTTTTTCTCGTAAAATGTGCATAGAGAAATGCATGGACCTAGTAAAGAACCTACATTCCCAAAATCTTCATTCATACGTTCCCAGTCTTTTGACGAGATTAATCTATCATATTTCGATGTTTCTTCATCTGAAACCCAGACATCGTTTATTTGATCAACCATCGTTAATGTTTTTATTTTATGTTATTAAATATAAGAAATCGGTGTTCATGATTACTTATAGTTGTGAAACTCTTACCACGTGATATCTGAACAACCGTCATTTCCTTTCCTCCGGAATTTGGTGGGTAACATGCCATAGCGCAAAAATCTGTGGTCCCGTGATTACTACGATTACCGCAACCACCGCCCAATCTGATTCGACGTGAACATGTCGATACAAGTTTCCAAGCTTGTGGTTGTTTAGTTTTAAATAAATAACCATTTTTGTCTTTTTATACATTGCATTGGCTATATTATATACGTATACATACTTGTCGATTTCTAAATTTAAGAGCTTATATCCAAGTTTTAAAATATTTTCAAGACTCTTACTTAATAAAACGAGTCTTTTTAAGAATTTCTAACAAATTATTCTGGTCATAATTTGTTAATCCGATTAATCTAATTAACGTTAATCGTTGGTCAAGGTAATTCTGAATTCATATATAATATAGAAATTGAATTCTTTGGTTACTCTATTTAGAATTTCGTTACAACTCTCAGTTTAGAATTGAAAATTTTGGTTTCGACAACTTTAATATATGCATTTAAAATCAACCAAGTTTAAATATACATAATAAAATTATCAATCCGAATTCATAAATATAAGTTCTTTAAAATTATATTTTATTATTTTTGTATTTCAATTATTAATTACAATAAAGGTTTCACTATGATAATTCTACACTAATTAGAAAATACTAGTCATTTCTAATAATTTTTTATAATGTATGATCGAAAATACTGTAATGTTTATAATTATCGATTTTGTAAAATAATCTAAATTATATATTTCTATAATAAAAAAACAAAAATATAAAGTAAATAATTACTCATTTGAACAATTAAGCAAGGACATTCACAATAAATATAGCCATGAAGAGTTTCCAGTTGCTCAATTTTATGTAGCATATTTTTTATTGCAATTGTTTTTACCAGTTGATTATCTTCCAAGCTATATGAATAAGGGACGTGACAAAAATCAGGTGATTTTTTAGGGGGGAGGGGTAAAAAAAGTTAAAATTATATATAAGAACCTGGTTTTTTTTATATTAAGAGGGTGGAGGGGAGTAAGCCTCTGATAAAAATAATCAGATGATAAATGACACTGCCCTAAGAACAAATATTCACAACTAACTATAAGTTGTGGTCAAATGTATTTTCAAATTCTTTAACTATGGCTCAGATTAAAAACATAATACATATCAATTCAGCAACTATTTAGTAATTTAATAACAATATATTACCTTATACATATTTATAAAAACCCAAATTTGTAAGATAAAATGTTGCTAGTAATACAAATATTTTTGCATTTATTTAATATACTTCTGTATATATTTTGTTAAATGCTATAGTATTCCAAATTAGTATATATATGATATAATAAATCAAAAAATAAAAATTAATAAGGATAAGAAGTGTGATAATCAGTGTTGGTTTGACCAGACCACTTTAACTATTGGACCAGACCAATTTGACCAATTTGACTGGTCTGGTCAAAGGATCTGTACTAGTCAAATTGGTCAAATAGAATATTTAAATATAATTTATTATACTGTATAATACAATATATATGTATACTATATTTATATAATAGACTTGATCAATTGGACCAGTTTGACCAATTGACCAATTTGACCAGCAAATTTTTAGTCGACCACTAATTTGTTCAACACTGGTGATAATATAGTAAAGTAGTTGAGTTGTCATCCCAAATAATATATCAAGAATTTGGATTCTATTGGTAATAAAAATTTGAAAATTCTGCTTGCATTATGGCTAATTATATTTAGTTAATTAGTTAGGATAAGATATTTGTAACTATGATTATACTAGCAAAACTGAGAGATTTGAATATTTATGTAACAGAAATATTATATAAAGAAACACAAACTAGTAATTAGTAATACAAATATAAGATAAGTTCTTGGGTTATGTAAATCTAGTAACTACAAATATAAAGCCTACCAAAGTAAAAAATAGTATAAATCTTCAATAAAGCTACTATAAAAGTTAGACTCAGGAAACAGAATCTATATAAACCAAACCAAAAAGCATCTTTACCAACCAGATTATTGCAAATAGAAAAAAGAACTGAGCAATTTAGTTAGAAAGCTCTTAATGTTTGTAGTATTGATGCAAAACCTACTAAACTATTCTGTTAGAAAGATATCTATTTAGGTATAAAGAAAAATATATGATAACTAAACTATCTAGCTTAGAAATCTGAAATTTTTTTAAAAGCAGTAATAGATAAATAAGTTACTATTAAATTTAGAAAAAACAAAGTATATAAACTAGCCTATTTAAATTGAAAATTTAAAAAAAAATAGTATTACTAAAGTACTGAAGATATACAGTAGCTAACAAAAGTTTTTCTGCACCTCTAACTTAGCAAGAATATATAGTAGGTAAAAATTTTTTTTTATTAAAAACTACATAATAATACATGATTATTAATATATTGTATAATCATTCTCAGCTTTGATTAGAGCTTCAATATGACTTTTTATACTACTAACTAATTTAGCTACATACTCCTTAGGTAAGGAGTTACATTCTTTTGTTATTTTGCTCTTTAGATTTTTAAGAGTTCTAATTTTTTTTTTTGCCAGGTTCATTTTCATAGCTGCCAGATATTCTCGATTGGGTTTTGGTCAGATGATACTAATGGCCAGGAGAAAACTTCAATATTATTTTCTTCTTTCCATACCTTTGTGATTTTTTGAATAGTGTTTTGAGGCATTATCCTCTTGCAAAATCTGATTATTGCAATATCTATCAAAAAGAACCTTAGCGAAAAGCAGAAGACCTGTTTCATACAGAGTAATCATATATTGCATGTTAAGGTTATATGTAAAGCAGACCAACCTGCCAAAGCCCAAAGAAGAAAAACAGCTCCATATATGAACCTTCAATGGGTGCTTGACGGAACAGGTTATTTTTCTTTTTCTAGGAAACTGCCAAGCCTTTTTTAGCTATTAATTCAAATGAAAAGTACTTTTATCTGTAAATATCACTGAATTTCAGTTAAAATCTTTATGCTTCTTCATCCATAAGAGGCATTTTTTTTGATACTTTTTTCTAATCAAAGGTTTTAAGAGTTTTTCATAGTAGCAGGCTCCACCTTTATCAAGGTACCATTAAATAGTATGTACATGAATATCTACATTCTTTTTTAGCAGCTCTTTGGGCTGTGATATTTTTATTTTCTTTTGCCAGCCCCAAAATCTGTTTGTCTTGCTTTTGGGTGGTGGCTCTTTTGCGACTCGACTTTATTTTATCACTTAGGTCTTTGTCTTTTTGCCACCTTTTTACCTAATATCTTACTATTTTTTATTGCAGTGAACCTGTTTTACTATCTCATGCATTGAGAGCTTAGAGCCCTTTGGGTAGACTGTTAAAAAATATGATTTCATATTATTGATGTAAAAAAAAAAGACATTTTTTGGCTAAAAATTGGGTATATAAGTAGCATAGGTATTTTTACTACCTACCCTGCTGTGGAAAATTAGTATGATCTACATATGTGATATACTATCCCTGTGTGAAATTTCATGCCTCCACACCTGTTCTTTCAAAAATTACAGATGCAGAAAAACTTTTGTTAGACACTATATTATAAAGTAAATTTTAAAGTTTGAATAAACTCTACAAAAACAAAAATAGATTAAGTAGCAAAATTTAAGCCAAACTGAGGTTAAATAGAAATAGAAGAAAAAGAAAATCTAAATTAAAAAAATATAAAATTGTAGATAAGAACCTTAACAATACTTCCAAAATAGATAAAACTTGAGCTGCAAGTAGTAAACCATAGTCTATATTACCAACTAAAATACAAATTATAAAATATATAATAAGAGTAAAAATACTGTATGCTTTGCCAGATTTATCTCAAAAATAATAAACTATAAGTAGATTAATAAGAAAATAGAATTTAGAAAATTTTAAATTATTATATAAAATATATATTAAGAAAACTAGTTCATAAAATCAGAGAAATATTGTTGATTGATACAGTATAGCTTTAGAGTATATAAGTACAAAATGTTTAAATAAGTAATCTAAATAGATAGATTATAAATATAGTAATTAGTATAGAATTTAGTAATAGGCAGACTATTTAAATAGCTATTCAAAAAATACAGATATATTTAGATATATTCTTTAAATATATATAATAACTGTTTTATATAATAAAAATTTATTTGACCAAAAAGTTTTCTTAATATCAAAAAAAAATTAATAATGATAAAAAATAAAAATAAAAGTAAAAAATAAAAAATAATAAAATTTTAAAATATGGAAACACCTATAGCAAAAGAGAGAATTGAACTATATATTATATAGTTCTATTTCTTTTTTTGCTATAAGCATCTCTATATAAGAAAAAACTAAGAAATAAATATATATCTTTATTTGTAATATTTAGTAATTTTAATAGGCCATTTATTTTTGGTATATCCTGTACTGTATGTAGGGTTATGTGTATATATATATAGTTATACAACATTTAAATTATATTGTAATCGAAAAGTTCGATTTGGGTATTTATTGTTAGGTTTTTAAGAGAATCTTTTATTAGGGCTTTGTTTTAAGATAAGTATTTGAGGCTTCAAAATCTGCCTCTACAAGATCTTTTTGTTGTTGCTTTTATATAAAATTCAATACTAATATACTATCTATTTTAGGGGTTTATTTATTAGACTAGTTTTATCCCTAGTTTTATAGCTAATGCTATCATTATGATCTTTATGCATAACGATTTATGCGTAATGATCATATGTGTAATGATATTATACATCACAATTGTATGTGTAACAACATTATGTGTAATGATTTATACTAATATGACTTCGATAAATAAAATAACTTATAGTTAAAATAGATAAATAAATACATAATTAATAAAATAAATATCTAATAATAATAAAAAATAAAGTAAAATTGAATAGCTA